ACTGAACCAGTGCTGTTGACATTACTCTGCATGGCAAAGCAACCATCCAGCTAACTCAGCTGACCAACACCCAGGCAGAAGTAGTAGAAGAACTGCAATTAGCCAAAAGCTTGGAGACTCTTGCAGTTTGAATGAATGTAGGGGTTGCAGGGTTAAAAAAAAAAACCAATCATGGCACAGGACACCATTCTAATGGTGGGTGTCAATAGGAAATTTGGGAACAGCATATTCAGAGGAGAGACAGCAACTGAAGGTGGTGCGGCCTGCCCAGATCCAGCTTCTGGGACTTCTGCTGTGTGCTGGAGAGGAATGTACAGAGAGTGGGTAAGATCCTATCATCATAAAAGGGACTGAATGAAGAGTCATGGATTTGCAGATGACTAAGATAAAAGAGAAAGAAGGTTGTGAGGAGGATACAAGCTTGCAACAGAATAGAGAAGTGAAATACGTTTAGAATAAAAACAAAGGGAAGTGACGCACTTCAGCAGCACAAACGAGGCAAGAGGATATATGATGAATATTAGACCCTGGGAAGCAGCAAGGAGCAGACTTAGACTTAGAATCCCTACAGTATGGAAACAGGCCCTTCGGCCCAATAAATCTACACTGACCCTCAGAGCATCTGACCAAGGCCCATTCCCCTATAACCCACCTAATCTACACATCCCTGAACACCAGGGGCAATTTAGCATGGCCAATCCACCCAGCCTGCACATCTTTGGACTGTGGGAGGAAACCAGAGCACCCAGCGGAAACCCACACAGACACAGGGAGAATGTGCAAACTCCACACAGACAGTCGCCCGAGAGTGGAATCAAACCGGGTCCCTGGCGCTGAGAGGCAGCAGTGCTAACCACTGAGCCACCGTGCCACCCCAAACGGACCTTGGGGTGCATGTACGCCATCTCTTAAGGTTTCAGGACATGTGGGTAAAGTAGTTAAGGAGGCCTATAGGATACCTGCCTTTATGAGCTGAGGCATTGAGTTTAAGAGCAAGGGGGTTATGCTGGAACTGTATAAAACATTGGTTAGGCCACAGCTAGAGTATTTTGTGTAATTCTGGAACCCACATTGTAGGAGGGATGTGATTGCAGTGAAGAGGGTGCAGAGGAGATTTACCAGGATGTTGCCCTGGGGCTGGAGAATTTCAGTGACGAACAGAGATTGAATAGAAAGGGGTTGTTTTCCTTCGAGCAGAGGAGCTTCAGAGGGTCATGATTGAGATGTATTAATTAGGAAGGACATGGATTAGGTAGCTAGGAAGTAGTTTTCCCCCTTGATGGAGGGATCAGTGACTAGGGGGTACAGATTTAAGGAGGTTTAGAGGGGACATAAGAAAAAAGGTGGTGGGAATCTGGAACTCACTGCCTATAAGGGCGGTAGAGGCAGAAATCCTCACAGGAACTGAAGAAGTATTTAGCGGTGCACTTGTACTGCCAAGGCACACAAGGCTATGGGCCAAGTGCTGGAAAATGAGATTAGAAGAGTGAGGTGGTTGTTTGTGATGGCACGGATCCAATGGGCCTGTGACTGTGCTGTAGATCTCTGACTCAGTAGGATAAGTGACTCAGCAAAGATTTGGTGAAGAGAATCTAATGTGGGAAAACATGGAGGCTATCACATTGGCAATAAGAATAGAAGTACAGAATGCTATTTAAAATGGAGAGAGAGACAGACAGACAGCAGTACACAGCTGTTCAGGTGAATGTAGATATCCTGGTACATAACTACAAAAAAAAAGTGTGCTGATATAGTAAACAGTCAGAGTAATACAGCATGGAAACAGGCACTTCAGACCAAACTAGTCCATGCTGACCGTGGTGTTAAGTCAGCTAGTTCCAACTGCCCATGTTTGGTCCATATCCCTCCAAACCCTTCCCATCTATTTAAAAAAAAAATTTGGATAGGTACAATGTTGCTATTGCAGTTGCCTCAATAAATTTTTCTAGCAACCCATTCCACACATGCACCACTCTCTGCATGAAGAAGTTGCCCCTCACCTTAAATGATTTGGAAAGACCAACATTTCACTGGCTTTATCACAAAGTGGGGGCGGGTAATGAGGTACAAAAATAGGGATTTTTGGTACAGTTGCACATGACATTCCTGGAATCACAGCTAGAGGAATGCGTACAATTTTGGTATTCATTCTTAAGTAGGGAAATAAGAGCAGTTCAGAGAACGTTCACTTTATGCATCCTAGACTGAATGCAATTAATCAATTTCAAGAGAACTAGGATTAAGAGGAGGAGAAACTTGTTTACTCAGAGTTGTTAGGATTTGGAATGTGTTGCCTGGGAGAGTAGTGGAGGCAGATTCCATGAGGTTTCAAAACAGAACGGGATATATATATCTGAGAGGGATGAAATTTGAGGGCAATGGAGATAGGGCAGGAGAGTAAGACTAGCTGGGTCGATCTTTCAGCAGCTGACACAGTACAAAGGGTTGAATGGCCTCCTTCTGTACTGTAAAATTCAAATGATTCTGTGATTCCTGGGATGAAGGGATTTTCTGGACAATCTTGAATATTGGGCCAATTTGGGCCTGTAACTAGCGGAGTCTACTGGGCTGCCCGTTTGGGTGGCTCAGTGGTTAGCTCTGCTGCCTCACAGCGTCAGGGATCCGGGTTCGATTTTACCCTCTGGATTTTGCACATTCTGCCCGTGTCTGTGTGGGTTTCCTCCAGGTGCTCCAATTTCCTCCCACAGTTCAAAGATATCCAAGTTAGGTAGAATGGACAATTTAGTGTGGCCAAATAGCATCCAGGGATGAGCAGGCTAGGTGGGTTAGCCATGGGAAATGCAGGATTACAGGGATGGGGTGCTCGAGGGGGTCAGTGTGGGCTCAATGGGCTGAATGGCCTGTTTCCACACTGTGGAGATTCTATAGCTCCAGAGAAATGAAAGGTACTTCGAGGAATTTCTTCTTGAAAAGATGGATGCCGAGGGGATGTTTCCACTTGTGAGTCAGACTAGAACTGGAGGATGGTTTAAAAATTAAAAAAAGTATCACGTTCAGGGCAGAGGTGAGGAGAAATCCTCTCTTCCAGAGGGGTATTAATCTGTGGAATTGTCCTCTCCCCAGAGCAGCAGCAGAGGCAGGGTCACCGAATATATTTACTGCTGAATTCAAATCGGCAGGATGCCAGTCAAGGATCTAAGTTTACATCGGGATAGACATGAAAATGGAGTTGAGGGCACAAGTAAATCAGGTGTGGTTTGATTAAATGATGTAGCAGTCTCAACAGGCCAAATGGCCTACCCATACTCTTAATTTGTCTGTTGGCATGAAAAGATCTCAAAGGGCGAATGTAAAAGAATGTTAGGGGTAGTGGGGGAGTGGAGGAGTGGTGAAGCAGGGAGTGGTAAAGGCACTGGACTCAACATAAAAGCACAGGGTTTGAATCCCATTGTATCTGGTCGTAGAACTAAAATTCAGTTCACTTATCTGGAACTAATTAACTAGTTTATTAACAATAATATTCATTTTAAGGGCAGCATGGTAGCTCAGTGGTTGACACTGCTGCCTGACTGAGCCAGGGACCCAGGTTCAATTGCATGGAGTTTAAACATTCTCCCCGTGTCTGCATGGGTTTCCTCTCAGTCCAAAGGTATCCAGGCTAGGTGGATTGGTCATGCTAAATTGCCCGTAGTGTCCAGGAATGAACAGGCTAGGGAGAGGGTTAGGCACAGGAAATGTGTGGTTACAAGGATAGAGTGGGATCATCCTCACAAGGTCAGTGCAGAGAGAAAACGAGAGCGAGAAATGCCTATGGTCTTTTATAGGCCTTGATTCCTTACTTCAATATCCACCTCTCTTGCTATCTCAAAATGATCAAGCTGCTTCCCTGTCACCCTGACCAGACGTTAGTTAATTCCAGATAAAAATAAACTGAAATTTAATTCTACTACCGAATGAATCGTTCTGCACTGTTCCATGATAATTACAGAGCTAATGCCCACTAAGTGGCAGAACAGCAGGCCAGTGTTTGTTTAAGAGGCCAGAATTAGAGGAATACATAGCTCTGGCCTACGGCACTGTACATAGAGATAAAAGTGGCATGAGGGATTTGAAAAGAATGAGAAGCTTAGAAACAGGGGTGTGGTTTACCCAGAATCCATGTAAACATCAGTAAGCGCAGGATGAACAGACACAAAATCAGAACACAGAGAGAAATCAAAGTTGGTGCAGGGAAGAGAAGGGAGAACATTGAATAGTTGAAATGAATTCTAGAGCAGAGATGTGGATTCACAACAGATGAGCTGAGGGAGGGGCAGTGTTGGCTGACATTAGAGGTACAAATAGGTGATGACAGTGTGGATGACTGTTGGGAAGTTCACATCAGGTTTGCAGACAGTCTAATTCACCTAGAGAAATTCAGATTCAAGCTGGGGCCAGCGTTCAAAATCGCACAAGCAGCTCTCAAATGGGTATGCCATTCTGCGCCCTTCGTTATATGGACCAATAAAATGGAGTGGCCCTTAAAGTTGGGGAGAGACAGCAGAAGGACTGATCCCATTGGCAGGAATAGCCAGGGACAGAAACAATGGAAGCTGGCACAGCAGCCCTGTCCTCAGAGTCATTAGCATAGCACCCCCACCCCACACCTGTCCCAGCCCCTGGAGGGAAGAAATTGGATGAAGCAAGGTGCAGAACTGATAGGCTGTTGCAGTAGGAAGTAAAGGGAAGAACATCAGGACAAGGTGTTTGAAATACAGAGCGATTGACAGGGAATCCAGCAGAGGACATCCATTAATTACAAAGCCCAGGGCATTCAGTGAAGCATGGGAATGCATCATATACTGAATACACAACAGCCTAAATGGTCCTTCATACACTCTTCTGTTACTGCTTACAGCTCTCAATCAAATGGGCACTCGTATCATATCAGAGGAGCTCAAGCAGTCAAAATCCCAGACAGGGTGGACCATAAGAACGGGGTGCACGACCAGGCCATTCAGCCCCTCCACCAGTTAACCAACTGTTTCCAGTGTACTTACACCCTTTCCTTAAGAAGGAGACCAGTACTGTACACACTGCTCCAACAGTGGTTTCACCAATGCCCTGTCTAAGCCTCCATTTGTCTGCAGTCAATTTCACTAGCAATAAACAAAAAAAAAAAAAATTAGTTCTTATAATTATTCACAAAACTGACTACAGGAATTCACATTTCAAATATGAATTGGAAAATGGAAATTAGGAAACTGTTGTGCTACAGAGAATGTACTTTTTTATTTCAATGTGAAGATCAAAAGTGGAACAAGCCTGTGTTCATTTACTGCTAGAAAATATCCTGTAATTTATGGAAGGGTGGGATTTAATACTTCAAGATATTCTGGCACCAGATATCTTTGCGTTTAAAAACTGCCGAGCAATAGCGTCAATAAAAGTTTGTCCGAGAGATTAAAAGGTCCCTTGCACTCATTTCTGGAAAGCCTAGGCAAGCCAAGACAGGTCCCTCCCACACCCCGCAGAGGAAGAAGAAACAAAAAATTATGCACAACTGTGCAAAGAAAATCCTTCATAGAATCCCTACAGGGTGGAAGCAGGCCATTCGACCCATCAAATCACAGCATCCCCTCTCAAAGAGCATCCCACCCAGAATATCACCATGCCAACCCTACCCTGTAACGCTGCATTTCCCATGGCTAATCCACCTAGCCTGCACATCTTTGGGCGGTGGGAGGAAACTGGAGCACCCAAAGGAAACCCATACAGATACAGGGAGAATGTCCGTGTTGAGTTTGCACAGTCGCCCAAGAGTAGAATGGAGCCCAGGTCCCTCGCACAGTGAGGCTGCAGTGCTAACCACTGAGCCACCATGCCACCCTAAACTTTGAACAAGTAAAAACTAAAGGTCTATGTGAATGGCTACAGAATTGAGGACACTGGTTTATAACAAAGTAATGCCATTATCAGAATCCAAGAGAACAGTGAAGCTATCTCATTCCATCTCTGTAGGCTGTACTTTTCATCTTGTTTTATTCTTAACTGTTTTCCCATTAATGACCATTGCTGAACTCTGCCTTATCCACCCTAATTTGCAAATGAATAGGGATTTTAAAATGGATGCCAGTAATTCATTACCCACAGAGCCATGTTAAAAAAAAGTCACACCATAAGAAATAGGAACACAAGTAGGTCATTAGACCCCTCAGGATTGTTCTGCCATTCAATGGCATCATGATTGATCAACTCCACTTTCCTGCCTTTTCTTTGTAACCCTGGAATCCCCGACTGATCAAGAATCTATCTCAGCCTTACTTATATGCAAGGTCTCTGCCCCCTCAGTTCTCGGTGGCAAGGAGTTCCAAAGACTCTGAATCCTCAGAGAAGAAATCCCTCCTCATCCCAGTCTTAGATTGGCACCCCGTAATTCTAAGACTATGCCTCTGGTCTCTAGACAAGTTTGTTTATGATAATTAAAGTTTTGCTTTCTATTTCAAATGAAACCCTTTGTGATTTCTTTAATTTTAGAGGGTGATCACAGTCAGGAAAGTTAACTGTCTCGGTGCTACAATTGGTCATTTGTGTTTGTCACAGCTTATACAACAATGGGGCTAAATTTCCAGACACTTCCTATCAGGGTCAATACACTGCATACCAACGACGTGTGATCCATTAACTAGATCACAGATCCCAGGTTTCAGATCTCTGCCAGGTCTCTCACTGCTTAGTGAATATGTTGGGACAATCTCACACGTCCTCATATTATACTCCATTTGCCAGATCTTTGCCTATTCACGTATCCTATGTCTTCTTCACATTTTACTTTCCTACCATCTGTTAAATCCCTACATTGAAATCATTTTCACAAACTGTGAAGCGTTTGAGGCCCCAAAAACTGATCCCTGTGGCACTTCCCCCATTACATTTGCCAGCCAGAAGTGACACATTTATGCCCACTGTTTCCTGTTAGCTAGCCAATCCCGTGTCTGTGCCAAAACATTACCACCTACAACACAAGCGTCATTTTCTATTACATTTGACATAGGGTTGTAGAATCATACAGCACGGAAACAGACCCTTCAGTCCAACCAGTCCATGCTGAACATAATCCCAAACTAACTTAGTCCCACCTGCCTGCTCCTGGCCAATATCCTTCCAAATCTTTCATATTCATGTACTTAGCCAAAGGTCTTTTAAACATTGTAACTGTACTCACATTTACCACTTCCTCAGGAAGTTCACTCGACACGCAAACCAGCCACAGTGTTTAAACAAAATTGCCCCCGTGTCATTTTTATACCTCTCTCTCATCTTAAAAATGTGCCTAATCTTGAAATCTCCCATCCTAAAAGGAAAAGACAACTACCATTAACTCTATCTGTACACCGAATTAATTTATAAACTTCTATAAAGACACCTCTCAACCTCCTACGCTCCAGTGAAAAAAGTCCCAGCCTTTCTTTATATTTCAACCTTCCATACCCAGCAATATCTTGGCAAATCTCTCCTGAATCCTTTCCAGCTTAACATCCTATAACTGGACAACCAGAATTGGACACAGTACTCCGGAAGAGGCTTCACCTATATCCTGTACAACCTTAACATGACTTCCCGAATACTGCACTTAAAGCACTAAGCAATGAAGGCAAGTATGCCAAATAACCTCTTGTCTATATGTGATGCAAACTTCAAAGAATTATGTACCTGAACCCCAAGTCCCTCTGTTCTACAACACTAGCGAAAGCTTTATCTTTAATTGTATAAGCCCTACCCTTGTTTGCTGTACTAAAATGCAACACCTCACATTTATCAAGACTGAACTCCATTTTTCAGCCTTCTGGACATCCAAGTACAGTAAACCCATCAGTCCCTTCTTATCTGCAACACCTATTTCATCAGGCAACTCCAGAAAGTTGGCTAAACATGGTTACTATTTCACAAGTCCATTTAAACTCTGTCTGGTTGAACGGGAAATATTCAACTGCCCTGCTACAACATCTTTAAGGTGTTACGGAAAAGATGTCATGGCTACTATTAATAAAACTGGTCCATAGTTTCTTGCTGTTTTCTTTTGTGAATAAAAGAAGTTATATTCCAGGTTTCCAATCACATAGAACCTTCCTTGAATCTAGACAAATTTGTAAAATAAGAAACCAAAACATCAACTCTCAATTGTTATGTATTGCATTGAGCTCATCTATTGCCTCAACTCCTTGTTTCAGATCATGACCCTGAACAGCCTCACGGAGCTGACTATATTTCTTTTAAAAATCGTCTTGGGAAGTGGACATCATGAAGCTCGGCCAAGATTTATTGCCATTTCCGAGTTGCTATTGTGAAGGTGAAGCATTTCAGTTCATGTAGGGTAGGGACATCACAGTGCTGATGGAAGGGGAGTTTGCTCTCAGTGACAATGAGGTGACAGTGCTACAATACCAAGGCAAAATGCTCTATGGCTTATAAGGAAACTTGTAGGTGATGGTCCCATGTCTACTCTGGTCCCAGTGGTAGGATCGCAGATTTGGAGAGTGCAATAGGAGTCTTGATGAATTGCTGCAGCACATCTTGTAGACCCTGCTGAAGGGAACAAATGTTGGAAGGTGGTGGATCAAGCAGGCTGCATTGTTCTTTTTGAGTGGGCTTTTTGAGTGTTGTTGGAGCTGCACTCATTCAAGCCAGCAGGGATAGTTCCATCACAATCCTGACTTGTAACTCCTGAGATCCTTCATCATTGTCACATACTCCTTCTGACTGAGGAGATGATCTGCAAAGATCCCCATTTCATGTATTTCTTCATCCTAAGACATCCCACCTTCCCGCGTCTGTCTGGAGGATAACGCTGGGAAAATTGATTTTGAGTGCCTCTAGAATACAGGAACTTTGGAGATTTAATCCCCTTTCATAAGCCATAAGTCCCAGAGAACTCGAACATGTCTTTTAATCAGGCCCATAATCAATGCAAAACCACCCATACCTACATTGCATCCATTTCTGGGTGTAGCAAAGCCAACTGTGGACATTTCCTACTCAATCTGTTATCAGAATCCTTACAGTGGAGATAGAGGCCCTTCGGCACATTGAGTCTGCACCAACCTTCTGAAGAGCATCCCAACAAGACCCAAACTCTATCCCCATAACCCTGCATTTCCCATGACTAATCCACCTATTCTACAAATCCCTGAATGATGGGGCAATTTGGCAAGACCAGGCCATCTAAGCTGCACATCTTTGAAGGATATGTTATTATACACCTTTGGAGCAGGTGGAACTTGAACCCAGGCCTCCTGGCTCAGAGGTAGGGACACTACTACTGCACCACAAGAGCCCCCAGTCCCAACTGCACACTGCACCCCAACAGCCCCAGATTAAAAATACTTCACCCTGGGGTACCCTCTACCCAGGCATGCCCAACAAGTTAGGAAACTCCTCTCCCTATCCCCAATTTCTGCTCCATACCTCAGCAGTAGAACTCCAGACCTTAGTCTCCAACAGCACTGAGATCTTCCAATAGATTGCTAAGCACAGGGTAATGTAGAACTTGTAAACAGCCACCATACCTCAAACATCACGTGGGCTTTGTCATTGCCCACACAAAGCTAATGGTTTGTCATCATCATCCTACCAATGTCCAATCTGCACCAAACTATCTCAAACAGTCAGAGATAGTAGGAACTGCAGATGCTGGAGAATCCGAGACAACAAGGTGCAGGGCTGGATGAACACAGCAGGCCAAGCAGCATCATAGGAGCAGAGAGGCTTAGATGCTGCTTGGCCTGCTGTGTTCATCCAGCCCTGCACCTTGTT